TGTGGTCTGCTGGAGACCTGATGCCTGATTCTAAAATGTATATTTATGATCTTATCTCTCCACTTGGGAGACTCAATGAATGAAATGAAATGAAATATTTTGAGCTCATTTTTCTAATTTCAAACTTTCTGTTAAGTTCATTGAAAATTCTTCATTTGTTAATAATTATGTAAACAGAACAGTAAAGTAGTAGGCAAGTTCTCATGCTTTTAGCTGCCTCCTACTAAAATTAACTTTCAAAAGAGCTGACCTGTGGACATAAAATTGGGCCTCATGTATTCAAAGGTCACTTATACAGTAAACTCAATCTGGAAGATTGCCTACAAAAACAGTCAAAATCGACTGTGCAGTCTCTGTGCCAAAGGTTACGCACTGCACCCATGAAAGACATTCCTTGACAACAAATGATAGCCCATTGCTCATACTTTGCCCTTAATTTCAATACATTTGGTTAGTTTGTTTTATATTGGCCACCAGTTTGGAGGTAACAATTCAGGAGAAACAATTTTACAGCCAGGTCTTCTGACTCCAAGAAATGGTGAAGGTGACAATTTAAGAGTACAATGGGAGAGGGAACACCATAACCAAAACCAAACAAAATCTGGTTTACAAATGTAAATCTGATGACACTGGCCATGTGCCTAAAGTTCTGTGTTCACTTCAACAGCCTATGAGGTTATCAAGGCCTTAATGTAAAACAAAATGATGGATCAGAACCTCCCTGGTGGCACAAGGGATTAAACACCGCTCTATGAAGCAAGGCACAGCCTCTGCAGCATGAGTTCGATCCCCGGCTGGCCAGGGAGAAACCCACATGGTGAGGCAGACCTCTCCTGTCTCGCCCGCTGCTCCCCTCAGCAGTGTGTTTCAGTCGGTCTGCCTGTTCTGTTCCCCACTCTGTCTCTGGCGGATCCTCTCACCCCCTGCATCTCTGGCCTGTACCCCAGCTCTTATATGCATAAATAAATCTTTTAAAAAAGATGGATCAATCCATTCAATGCACATCATCAATAACCTATTATATGCCTGGGTTGGGAGATCAAAGTCAAGCAACAGGTTGTTCATGTCCTTGAAATTTTTACAGGCAGATGGGAAAGCAGAAAGAAAGCAATTACGACAAAAACAGAAAGTGCAGTGTGAGTAAAGAATAACTGATTTGTATCAAAGCCTTATTGAGTAATATTTGAATTTTGTCTTCAATGCCAATTGGGGAATTCCAAATTGATAATGAAGGAAGGAACATTAAAAAAAAAGAAAAACAGAGCATACATTGAAGCATAAAGTAAAGAAAAAGCGTTATTATTGTGTATGGTAGGCAGAATGCCCCAAGTTCCCATCCATGCTGAACATGCCCTGTATAATCCCTTCCCCTTCAGTGTGAGAGGACATGCCAGTGAATAGAAGGGATTATATAATCATTATGTGATTATATCATTCACATGATTATATCATATATGTCAAAAGGGATTATACTGAAGGAATTAAGGTCCTTAATCAGTTGACTCTGAGTTAATAAAAATGGAGATGTTGTAGGTAGGTCTGGTCTAATCAGGTAAGCCCTTAAAAGAGCCCTTAAAAGATTCAAAGGGGGAGAGAGTCTCCTGCTGGGCTTTCAAAAACAAACTGCCACATTGTGGAAAGGACCTGTGGTAAGGATTTCAAAGTCGCCTCTAGGTGTTGAGAGTCCTCCCTTATAAAGAGCTAGTAATAAACAGCTGCTTTAGTCATATGCAATGGAAATGTGTATGCAAGGAAATACATTCTACAACAACCTGAAGCAATTTGGAACTGGGTCTCTCTCTAGTTAAGCTTCCATAAGAGGATGAAACTAGTTGATGCTTTGAATTTACCTTAGTGAGATTAGCTGGATGGTTAGCCAAAATATGCCAGAATCCTGATTCATAAAAACTGTGAGGCAGTAAATTTTGTCATCTTAAGCTGCTAAATTTCAGGCTTGTTATATGTTAATAGAAAAAAATACATAGCATGTTAAGGGAACAGAATGTAGTTTAAAATTTCTATATCATGGGTATATGGAAAAGACAGCAGGAGAACCATAGAGAAGGAAAACTACTAAGAGTCTGTTTCATAATATAAAGAAATCGGTATTTATCCTGGGGTCAAATGACATTAAAAGTGGTTAATATAAAGGATGCTAATAAGAGGTTTGTGTTTTTTGAAAGTTAACGCTGGACAAAGTGGCAAAGATGAACTGAACTCCAGAAAAAGAAAATTTAAATAGGACTGCACTAAAACCATCCTCATAAGTGATTATGGATGCTTTTTTTAAAAGGGAATGACAGTAATAAGGAAGCAAAAGGTGATTAGATAAATATTTAAAAGATAAGATCAAAAATGATGACCAATATTAATGAAAAATATTACTGGAGAATGAGTCTAAACTAACTCCTCAAGAGTACGGGAAGATAAACAATTAGAGAAGTTATTTTGAACTTTGAGTATGGCATGCTTGAACTGCCTGCATGGTTTCCAAATGATTAAGAGGGAGCTATTCAGAGTCAGTTAATAATCTAGTTCTGGAAGCTAGAACAAGGTGGAGGCCGGAGATTTGGGGAGTTATCAATAGAGTTGAAGGCATTGGAATAAATGAGATCACTCAAGAACAATATGAAAAGATGATGGCAAATTAAACTCTGGGGAACATCAACATTTAAGTATAAGTGAAATAAAAAAAGCAGAGGAAGAAATAGATTGTTATTATAACAAGAGTAAAATCTGGAAAAAATGGAATCATGGAAGCTAAGGGAGAAGAAATTTTCAAAGAAATAAAGATTGAACATTGCCAAATGGCAAATGACAAGTAGAATAAGCATAAAGGAAAAGTCTTTGGATTTAATAATAAGAAAGTCCCTGTTGTCCCTAACAAGAGCAGTTTGTCTTAGTAAGGAAGTTTTCAAAGGAACTGAGGGTGTTGAAGTCACTGCAGTGGGTTATGGGAAATAACAGGAAGTAAGACACAGTGGATTGTCTATAGGAGCTTCTTTCAAATATCAGGGAAACAAGAGAACAGGGAAATGGAGGGGAAAGGACACCACCAAGAAGCACAAATACAACAGAATGGGAGAAAATATCTGCAAATCATATAGTTGATAAGGGATTTGTCCCTAGAAAATATTAAAAAATCCTTACAACTCACAATAAAAAAATTGAAAGTGAACAGTTGCTATGAATAGACATTTCTCAAAAGGAAAGCTACAAATGGTCAATAAACAAATGAAAAGACATCCAGACACCACCAGTATTAGGAAATGCAAATCAAACACAAACTGAGATACCACTTCACACCCACTAGGATGTCAGACAGGACACAGAAACTGGAACCCTCATTCATATACTGTAGGTAGGGATGTGAAATTGTGCAGCCACTTTGGAAAACAGTTTGGCAGTTTCTTTAACAAGTAAATACACAACTGCCACATGACTCAGTAATTTCATTCCTAGGTATATATACTCATGGTAAATGAAAACATATGTCCACACAGAAACTTGTACATAAATGTTTACAGCAACAACGCAAATGTTTATATTTAAGTGTCAAATGCAGAAAAACGCAAATTATCTTCAATGTACAAATGGATTTCTGAAAATGTAGTTCATCCACCGAATGGAGTATTATTTAGCCATGAAGAAGAACTTAAGTGCTGCTACATGCCACATGCACAAGCCTTTAAAACATTAAGTGAAAGAAGTTAGTCATGGAAGGCTATATAATATAGGATTCCATACACATGGAAGTGTAAAGTAGGGAAATCTAGAGACAGATAGTAGATTAGAGCTGCTTTGGGCTGGAGAGGCGGGAGGTGATAACTAAAGGAGTAAGGTGGGTGATAACTAAAGGACAAGAGTTGCCTAAAATTGATTCTGGAGAGGTTGCACATACCCAGGAATCCACTAAAACCCAATGAATTATACACTATAAGTGAGTAAATTATGTGGTACATGAATTATATCTCAATAAAGCTGGTTTTAAACAAAGTCAAAAAGAAATTACAGCCTGTGAGAGATTCCAGTATGCTACACCCTGAGAGGAAGGAGATGGTGGCTATTCATAGTGATTGATGGTCACGATAACTCTGAATCATCAGAAAAGGTCAAATTCTGTTCAATATGTAATATCTTTTAGAAAGAGTTCCAGCAAAAATATCTAAGTGAAATTTACTCCTTTGAAGTTTACTCCTAAACTTGCTTTCTGAAGCAAGCTTTGTGAAGAACATGTGTTTCCTCACTGCTCATAGACAAATGAAGTGTTACTCTAACTAGAGGAACAACAGTTACCAAGAAAGTGTCTTTGTAAAAATTACTTTTTGTTTCTGATGTTTTGAGGCAATTATTGGGTTGTGAAAAAAGAAAAGGAAAATTGCACCAAATCTCATGATTCCCATAGAATTACTAATAAGTGCTGTATCACCCTTCAGCTGTATGGCTTCTAGGTCACAAAGATTGTACAGTCAGCAACTGACCTGTCACACTGTTCTGGAATAGACTGGAAGACCCACTGACTGTACTCACTACCCAGCTGATAGTTCTTTTACAAGGATAACTTCTGGCATTCCTTGTGTTTCAGTCAAAAAGTTTGTTGTCATCAATTGGTTTCTTCTTTGAAACTGTGTACAGCATTATTATTGCTTTTATTGATTTATTTACTTATTTATTTCACAAAATACTTACTACTTTTCACCGCCTGCCATTATAGCATATTGCTTGGCTATTAAAAACAGGCTGTTAAAGACTTGCTGGCAAAACCCCAGAGGATTGAGGTGGATTTATTTATTTTAAATTTATAAAAATTTTCTGGATAGAGGTTAGTTTTGCTTGCTCAATATTTTTTATTGTTTCACCTGCAACTATAAGTGGGAAAGTTTTTTTGTTTTGTTTAAGTTACCAGGTCCTATCAGAATTGTTTGAAAGTGTCTAAACATTTTTTTATTGGAATGATTTACTTTCAAATGACCCACTGCTCTCAGAAAGGGGCTACTCACACAAGGTATCCAGATGTCTTGAGCAATGAACAAATAATCAGCATCTTCAAGGAAAGGCGAGAGTACTCTGGAACTTGGCAGGAGATTATTAGCACATTAAGAGAAGAGACTCCCCACTTCTCTGTTGATGACCAAGGAAAACGTCTGCTGGATTCCAGAGTGTGAGAAAAGGCAGCTGAGCCTTCTATCCACAAAATAAGCCAGGCAAAACAATTCCTCTGGAGCTGCAAGGGCCAGCCAGATCTGAGTGTCCTGTGAAAGGAAGTCGAGAGGGACAGGGATTCATTTCTGGGAAGAACGTAATTAGAATGAACTGCATGATAAATAAGAGCTGTTTTTCTCTGATTTGGATTTGAGTTTTCAATGTAGAGATCAAGCGTTTTTACAAAAAGAAAAGAAGGGCCTCTAGTTTAAATAAAATTGGCAAGTCTCTGGTTAATAAAGAAGGCTTCAGAGACACAATTCTCAGGACTTCTTTGTAATTTCTTCATGTCAGTATGAAAATGGGCCTATTCTGTTCTTCCTCCAAAACTTACATCTGTATCCCCTGCTTTTCTAGGAGCTCCAAATGAGCTCCTTCTAGTGTGTTTTTAGAAGTCAGAAGAGAGGATACAGGTTAGAAGAAGCCACAGGCCCATTGGTCTATATCTGTTATCAATATATTCATGGGAATGAAAAAGACACAGACTGAATTGTGACCCCCTCCTAAAACCTTAGTTTGAATCTCTGTTCCTCTTGTCTGACCATTAGCCTCTCTTAGCCTCACTGGTTTTTATCTTACCTCTCTGTCTCTGAACCAGTGAACCTGAATTAGTAATACCATATAACATGGTTTGACAATCAACACGGTATCTTGGTACCTTGCAGGTTGTAATACATAGCATTTAATTGGAAAGTATCCTTCAACAGTCCTCATCTAACTTTACAAAGCCAGGATTTGGGCATAAGAGCATAAGATTATATGACTCCAAAGTCTCTTCTATTTCTAAATTTTTCCTGTTAGCTTACTATAAGTAAATAAACATTAATAAGCAATATCAACAATATTATTTATAGATAAACATTTCTTTTTAAAGATTTATTTATTTACACATACAAGAACTGGAGTACAGGCCAGAGGTGCAGGGGAAGATTCACCAGAGACAGAATGGGGAAAAGAACAAGCAGACTGACTGAAATACACTGCTGAGGGGAGCAGCAGGCTTGGCAGGAGAGGCCTGCTAAGCCATGTGGGTAGTTCCCTGGCTGGCCAAGGATCAAACTCCTGCTGCAGAAGCTACAGATAGCTTCACAGTGCTGTGCTTTACCCCTTGTGCCATCAGGAAGGCCACTCAGATAAACATTTCTAACATGCAAAACATTTTTCTCTGAAGCATACCAACCAAATCTAACAAATTTCAAGACACTAATGGCTTCTTATGGAAGATAAGACAAGGATACAAATATTTACCTTTGTAAAGTTAAAAAAATTATGGATTTAAAAAATGAGGGATTTCTCAATTGACTTAATATTTGATAACTACTTCTGAACATGCACAATGTGATAGGCAGTGTACTAGACCTGGGGACAGAATGGTAAGTGAAAACAGATATAGTTCTGCCCATTTGGAACTTAATGTATAGAGGGAGAAGAAAGGTATTGCTAAAATAAGTGAAAGATCACAACACTTTAGAAGGGCTACAAAATAGAGGCACTTACAGACAGCTAGATGACTGAGAGATAAAGACTATGGTCAGCACTGGGCCCCCCTGGTGGAGCAGCAGTTGAGCGCTGGGTTGCGAAGCTGCCTGCAGCCTCTGCAGCACGGGTTCCATCCCCGGCCGCCAGCGAGGGTCCCACATGGCGCACAGACCTCTCCTGCCACCCGCTGCTCCCATCAGCAGTGTATTTCGTCGGTCTGCCTGTTCTGTTCCCCACTCTGGCTCTGGTGAATTCTCTCACCCTCCCACGCTTCTGACTGTACCCAGTGCTTGTATAAATAAATAAATAAATGTTAAAAAAAAAGAGAGAAAAGAAAAGTTTTATTAAAAAAATAAAATAAATTAAAAAAAAGACTACGGTCAGCAGAAGGGAGGCAGGAAGACTAAAAAAGGGGCTCATTGGAACTCACCTTGTGAAGGCAGTGAAGAACAGATCTATAGAACAGGTGAGAAAGCTGTCTCAGGTGGAAGATACAGACAGTGTGTGTCAAGGAATAAAGCCAACCAAGGTACGAGTATTAAATAGCATTTGGAAGAATGGAAAGAAAGTCCACTTGCTGACTATAAAGGACGGTGACTAGAAAAATAGAAATTGACAGGTATTAGAGGCATATTGCATGAGGTTTGAATGCCAGGTTAAAGAGTCTTACTCTGTGATCCATAAGGAATCTCTGGAGGTTTGAACAGTAAGGGCATGATAAGGTCTATGTTCAATAAAATAATACTTTGGGACTATGGAAGATGCACTGGGGGTAATAAGGGCAATAGAAGAGGGGATGCCATTTAAGAAACTGCATTGTCAATGAGCTCCTTGAGGACTGAAACAAAGAAGGCCCAAATCAAGAAGTAGGCAGTGAGGATGCAAAGGAGGGGAAATTCAAAGGGTGCTGATGATATCAAAATATTGGTACATCTTGGTTGTGAAAGACAAGAACAATAAATATTTGGAAAAGAAAAGAAAAAACAGCTGCAAATTGGCATAACTCATTTTTTCAATGAATGGAATCTTTATAATATGAGGACTGTCTATATGTTAACATAAAACTTTAAGACTTCAATTTGCTTATCTATTAATAAATGGTAAATAATACTCACTTGATAAAAAAGTAGTAATAAATGTTTCATTCAACAAAGCAAACACATGTTAGGGTCTTTGTGGAAAATGGATGACCTGGGTCCACTTACAGAAGTACAGGAGGTCATGGCTAGATAGAAGCTCAGTAACCAGACTGAGAAATCGGTCTTACAAGTTAGACAGCTCAAGTCCAGAGAGAATAAAGGACTCAGTGAGGCCAAACAGCTCATGAGAGCCAGAGTCCAGATGTCCTGCTTCCCAGGCCAGGGGTTGTTCAGCACTTCATGGAGCCTCTTACTTTCAATGGTGATGTTTATTTAGGAAAATGATACTTTCTGTGCAGCTGGGCTTGCCCAACCTGTAACGGCCAGGCACGAACAGTCAGTGAAGGAGAGGTTCCTTCTGACTTTGGATGAGAACAGCTGGGTGTAGGCTATTATAGCCAGGGCTCTAACAGATGCTCTGCTGTGTCCATCCTCGGATTCTATCCTGTGTTTGAGAAAATTAAATAACTGATGGGAAAAGCCACAGACAATTGAGAAGCCACTCAGGAAAGACTTGCTTCCAAGGAAAAAAGAAGTCAGGATGTACTCATTTGGATCAAGTTATATAAACCTGAGATGGGAGAGAGAACATTGCCAAAGGTCTTGTCATTGTCATCTTTCACTGGAGTCAGAGGTGATGGGACTGAAGAACAAAAACTGCTGCTCCTCCACCACCTGTGTGGGACACTGAGAGTGCCAGGTGGATGTGGAGGGATGCCAGCACCACTGGCAGTGGAAGTAGCTGGTGTTGTCTTGGAGGGGGTGCCAACATATAAAAGCAAACATCAGCTCTGTTGCTTTTAGGCATTGCTATCAGAAGTGGCAGCATTAGCAAATATGCCTCTCCTTGGCATTTGGTAGCTTAGTTCTCACTTTTACTTTGCCATTACAGTGAAGAAGTAGCCACATATGAGATGAGGTAATCCTATCTCCATTTTTCTTTTGAACTTTGGACTCCACAGGCAAAGTATTTTGACCTGTTTGGATACTGAGAGACTCACTGCCCTCCACAGATGTCTGCTCAACTCTTAAGGAGGTGGAATACATATTCACCACAGCTACTGAGTGGATCCTCACTGACTAGAAAAGCATACATAATGGCTCACTGTGTACACCACCACAACACTCCTTGGATACAACTAATGGCCCAGTCTACAGGGCTGTGACCTAAACTGAGCCAACAAGATCCCTTCTCTAGAATTCTGAATTGCAATGATACTATTCTGATTCAATGTTGACTACGCTCCAGTTGCTGTTCCCAGGCATAGTGAGCCACCACCAACTGGACTTGGATGTAGAGAAAAGTGTCTGGGGGGCAGGGTTGCAGGGAGAAGCTGACAAATAAGAGAGGAAGACCTAAGAGGTGGGAAAAGATCCAGCTTTCCGGTCCTGGTGCTCACTCCTCCTGGGGACAGTGCATTATTGATCTTGACACAGTAAGACATCTATATATTCCATCACCCCCTCCACTAAATTTGTCTCAGTTTTTCCAAATGAGTTCTCACCAACACAAATGATATGGCTCCAAGTGTGCAAAGTATGGTTTGCTAAGTGGAGGTTTTAATTGAGACCACATAGAATAAAGTGGGAAATAAAGGACTAAAGACAATCTGTTGGGGACAGTGCTTAAACTGGAGAAAATTCTCCAGCTAGAAACAACAGGAGGGAGAGGAGGGGAAAGCTAACAGGAGCTCAGGATGGGACAAATACAGAGAGCTTTGACTAGGGGTGTGAGGGAGAGAGACCTAGAGATCCACCTGCATGAGCCCACTTTTCTCAGAGATGGAAATTAGTAAACATGGCCTAACACACTTTTTCATTCAATTCCGCTGTTTTTCTAGATTGGCACAAAAAATCTGTCTCCTAGACATCATGATAAGACTGCTCTCTTGCACAGGTCACACAAGTAGTGACCTCTTTTAGAGGAGACACAGGTTACCACTGGCTAGATATTATTTTCCATCATAAAAAAAAAAAATCCCCCAAACCTTGGTTAAGAGCACAATCTATTATAATCTCTTGCCCTTGGGGTTCATTCTATAAATTTACACACCAGTCTCAGGAGAGTTCTCACCATACCATTTATTTCATAGGTTAATAAGATGTGTTAGGATTTTTTTTAATTCCTAAGACCATTTAAAGATGCTAATGAAGACTGGTCAATAATCCAGCTTTAGTCTTTTAAATTACTTTTTAAGCTCTGCAATTTAGAGTCAAATGGAATTCATTAGCACCCTTAAGCTTTTATAGCTGTTTTATTAGCGACAAAGGATTTAGTACATAAGGTTTGGGAGAAAAACCATAAAATAATGGAATAAAGGAAATTCTTCACTCTCCAAGTTATTTTGTATATTGAATGATAACCCCAAGCTTCCCAACAGGTGAAAAAAACCCACCACATATAAAAGTAGACATTGGAAATGCTAATAAAATGATTGATTAATAAGAAACCACATTAAGTTAATAAATTTGGAAATTAGTTCAAGAAGGTGAGAAGAAAATGAGTTCTAAAGAGACTAGGTTCAAAAAAGGATAAGAAATTGATAGAAAAGACCGTAGCTCACAGAGCAGCCACTATGATTCCAAACAAGGACTGAGAAAATTTAATTTCAACTTCATATGGAACTTTCTCAAGTAAAGTTCTCTTTCACTTACATAATTTTATTCTCCATTAGACTCTATTCTAACCATGAGATGCAACTATTCACTGCTTTCTTATCCACTATCTAAATAAAGACAAGTAAATAACCTAAATAAAAGTACCACAAAACAGTCTTTTTGTTAGGGGGAAAAGGCGGTCCCAAAGCTAATTCCATACAGGCTTTGTGGACTCCACCCCCACCCCAGGTCAAAGCCAAAGACACTGGGAACTCCAAATCCCATCACCACCAAAGGGAAGGTGGCTGGGACCTGAGGGTGGGGTTAAGCAGCCAGGTGGATACAAAAGGCAGACACGTGGGCTTTGGGGCTCTCTCCATTTTGGGGCGCTCGGCCAGCGCGGAGCCTCCGGCCAGCTCTGGGAGTGACTTTGGGTTTCCAGGTCGTCGGATCGGGTAGGACGCATTAAAGACTTTATTTCCCTATTTTCTCCCTGAGTTGTACATTTTCCTTATTTCCTTTCCTCTTGTAAATAAACCTTTTATTAACCCTTTTGTGTGTGTCTGTAGTAGAGTATTCATAAGTCCCTTTAAAGCGCGCGGGTGAGGACCCTCAGCCAGGAACCCGTTTAATATCGGGGTTGCTCTATAACATTTTGATAATTAAAGAAAAATCCATTGGAGAAGACCATTCCAACAGGGAAACCATGAAGACCTATGAATTAGAACACTAGGAAAGTCTCGTTTGTTTTTTTATAAGCCTCACCAAAGATTAAGTTTTGAACTTTCATAAAACATTCATTCACTCATTCCACAGTCACCAACCCCCAAATGGCAGGCATTGTGGTAAGCACTGGAGGCATGAAATAAATCATCCACAGCCCCTTATTTCAAGGATTTAATTATCTTAGGTGGGAGATTTGATGAAAGCAATTTACTACAACAATCATACGTGAAGGATTGGTAAGAGTAGCAAAGATAATAACAATAGAAATTCAAAGGTTGTCACTAGCAGTTCCGCTCAGAGATGTCAGTGTCATCTCACAGGAGAGCCCAGCCTTGAATAACAACCTAAGAGTAAACCAGACTGACCGGGGAAGAAACTGCCCCTCATGTGGAGGAGCAGGGACTAAGTTTAGGCAAGAGTGGATGAGTTGAAGGTGGTAGGCAACAGTGTGGCTGAAGCTTGGCGGGGACTAGGACACAAGGAAGATGGAGAAACAGAGATAGAAGCACAGGTTAGAGCCTGATTGTGAAGGGATTTTTCTGCTGTCATTTCTAAGCTAAAAATTTTGGACTTTTGTATCTTATGCATTAAGATCTACCCTCTGGTTTTTATTTGTACACTTCTTTGCAGCAGAAAAACATGAAAAAAAAATGTGTCTAAAAAGTTTAACTCATATATGACATGTAGAATGGAGAAAGTAGGTAGAAAATGACAGAAGATGACTAGTTCACTGTAATATTCTCAGGTAAGAAATAGTTAGAGCTTTAACTATGATGTGGCAGAATAAATAAGGAAAGGGATTCAAGATTTACCGATGAGGTATAATTAACAACTGGTGACCAGGATTTGAATGTTGGGGGTGTAAAAAATGTCATGAATACCCTAAGATTTCTCACCTAAGTAAATGATGGCATCCACTGCTCTGGCATCTGGAAGGAGCCAGTGAGAGAACATGGCCAACTCAGTGTGGAAGTGCTGCCTGCCATGAGGCCCCTGTAGGAGGCCAGGATTATGTCTTCCACGCATCTAGACATGCGGGATGAGGCCTGAGGAAAGCTACCCGTCCTAGGATGCAGGTTTGGTGGTCGCTGGAATATGGGGCAAGCTTGAAGGCATGGGTGTAGATAAGCTCATTAGGCAAGAGCAGAGAAAGGGGGGAATGTGCTTGGGGGAGGGAAGCCAAGAAAGTGAAAGAAGAGAAGTCTCAGTGACAGAAGATCCAGAAAAGAGCTGAAGGAAAAGTCCTTTCAGGGATGTGGGAGCAGTCCACATATATTGTCATTATCCAAAACACAGTCTGTCTCTTTGGAACTTGGTAATTACTGGTGATCTGGAAAAACCAGATTACACTGGGTTCAAGTGTCAGTGGAAAAAGAGGGAAAAGAAAGGATCAGTGATTTCGAATAACTGGAGAGAGACAGCAGAATAAGGAAGAGTGCATTAAAAGGAGAGACAGGCATGCTTATAGACAGAATCGAGGCCAGGGGTGAGAAGGACACTGAGGATTCTAGAGAGAGGTGTGATAATTGCAGGATCAGAATTCCCGTCCCCTCTGCATATTCACATGCCTGAAACTTACATCCCCCAGCCAAAAGGGCAGCTTTGTGGGAACCTGAACAGTAGCCAATTAAAAGTGAAATGAATCTATAGCAATATCTACCTGGGTGGGGATAGAGGATTTTGTTTTTAAAACCAAAACAAAAATAACTGCGAACTTATGAACCATTTATAATTCTTCCCCCCTCCCACCTCCACAAACAATTCAAGTTAACAGGGGAAAAATAAAGTTTCTAAATAAAGTCTTCCCCTAGGATTGCATTTTTGACTTGCCAAGTCAAACGAACCAAATCTTTTGTTTCTCCAGCAATCCTGCTTCCCAAGAAAAATACACCTGCAAGGAGCAGGGGCCAGGTTTCCCCACCCTCCCTTTTTTTTTTTTTTCTCTGAAAGCAACGTTAGAGGGCACTTCTCCATTGTGTTATGCTCTCCGTCCGCCAAGAAGGTTAAGCAAGTGTAAGTAAAAGCAGTCAAACTGCTCTCTTTATTTTGGAGGTAAAGTAATTGCCCCTAATTTGCTTCTGCAGATACTTAGCTCTGAAGGGATCCCACCAGTGTACTCCAGGGATCTACACTTTGAGGATTCTTGACAGTTCTGGCATAGTAGCATGCAAGTTGCCATGTGTTCGTGCTTGCGATAATAGCTATTGTCTGTACCATCTAATTATCTCGTCTGGCATTCCACAATCACTCATTCTTCCATGGTTTGATGAGAAGCAAGTTCTTCATATTTTACGTGCTTCATGGAGACACTGATTCCCAAAGTGTAAAATCCAGACACTTTCTGTGAAGTTCTGGCATGTAGGAAGGTTTTGTAAAATTCCAAACTATGGAAACTTGACCCAGTGTATTTTATTTTGGAAGTTTGGGGTTTTAAAGTTACAGAACCTAAAGAGGGTAGTTCTTGAGACTATTTCGGTATCTAGAAATTCTTATATACCTAGCTGTAGTAAGTTAGTGATAATTTTCTCTGCTTATTATAGGGAAGAGGGGGCAGTAAATAATTTCTGAGTATTTCCTGCTGCTAGGCACCATGGGAAATGCATCATTTACCTTATTTCTTAATTTCTCACACAAAAACCCATTATGTATATCTAGAAATTGATTGAGAAATTAGTTTGTTTCAGATATCGAACTAGTGAAGGGTAGAGTTGAGAGCTGATACCATGTCTTCCTGGAATAGGCTCTTTAGGTATCAGTTTAAGATATTGATGTATTTATTCACAAAATGTTGGATAGACACAGAAGAGAGCTGCAGCCAGAAAGAAGAGTCAGTGGACCTTATTCCTCACCACATGGAGTACAGAAGCCACGAGAAGCCCCCAGACCCTCACCTACACTCCTCCATGCCTGCTTGGATCCCCTTCAGCTCCAAGATGGCAGGTCCTCTCACTGACTCTCACTTAAATCAGATGCAAACTCACATTTGGATGCCTTCTCTCTCATATCCAAACCCTCCTTTTGAACCCAGTTCACACCTTTTCTTCCGTGAAGACAGCTATGAACACACAAAATTTCAATGGACTTCTCTCCACTCCTGCTTCACTCCAGAGAGTTAGAGAGTTCTGGACACTTTAATTTATTGAAATGTATACCACTGCATTATAAATCCAACTTCTTCCTATTAGCCTTATCCCCCTTACTAGCCTTTTTTTTTTTTTTTTTTTTTTTTTTACCAATAGCTGCACTTGCCATGACTTGAGGTTGATAGCAAGGAAGGAAATGCTCATTGATAGTTTTGGGTGAGTTGATATCCATTTGATTTTGTTGCAGTGCTTTTGGGGTAGGAAAGACAGAAAAAGATGTGGGGAAAACTTTTAATTTTTAATTGTGAAGCCAAGACAAGCTCTCATGAGTGTACTACTTAATGTGGATACAAACACACTTTTTTTTAAAAAAAAAATCAAACTAAGACTCCCTATCTCTTAATTATAGGATACAACTGAGTCTCACCTGTTTCATCAGCTTGTGTGGAAATCCAACATAGACCAAGACGCTCACAGTTTTGAACACTTAAGAGCATCAGCATTTCAGAAGAGTGTGCTGGATGTCACCCGTTGGTATCAACATCCATTTCCAACCCATACTATAGTCTTTCTTATATCACAGGGACCAGGAAAATGCAGGTGTCCAGCCTCCCCAACTCACAGACGTTCATGATTAGTTGTTGGTGATGAAACCTTGAACACTAGGTGATGTCTCCTGACGTCTGCGCCTGGGTGCAGCAGCTTTTTCCTGGAACTTTGCACCAGAAAGGCTGGGGAATTAGTGGATCTCTCCCAATCTTTGCTGTTTCATCCCTCCCAAGAGTTTTCTAAGCACACATTTCCCTTTATTACATCACTTTTCAGTATGGAACACCTGGGATGGTTCCTGTTTTCTTTATTTATACAGAAAAGGACTTGAGCTTGGACCAGAATCCCAATTCCATCCTCAATGAGGTAAAATAAGAACAAGAAGCAGTTACAACTAAAAGTATCTGACTTTTAAAAACAAGCCAAACTCCTCTCCTTTCCATCTCCATACTGAGTCTTTTTCTCTGTTTTATAAGTGGTAAGGACTGAATTGTGTCACCTTCTTGCCCCCCACCACGTGGTACATGTTGAAGGCTAGCACATGTTGAACCCGCACCCAATTTGATGATATTTAGAGATGAGGCCCTGGGGAGGTAATTAGGGTTAGATGAAGTCATGAAGGTAAAGAGTGGGATTAGGGCCTCCCCGGTGGCACAGCGGTTGAGCACTGGGTTGCGAAGCTGCCCGCAGCCTCTGCAGCGCCGGTTCAATCCCCGGCTGCTCCCCGGCCACTGGAGGAGGGTCCCACATGGCACGCAGACCTCTCCTGCTGCCCGCTGCTCCCCTCAGCAGTGTACTTCTGTCCTTCTGCCTGTTCTACTCTCTGCTCTGGCTCTGGTAAATTCTCCCACCCTCCCGTGCTTCTGACTGTACCCAGTGCTTGTATAAATAAATAAATCTTAAAAAAAAAAAAAAGAGTGGGATTAGCTAGTGGTTTTATAATGAGAGGAAGTCTCTGTACCACATGAGGACACAGAAAGAAGGCAACTGTCTACAGGCCAGGAACAAAGCTCTCATCAGAAACTGAACTGGCCAGCACCTTGATCTTGGACTTCCAGTCTCTCGAACTATAAGAAAATAAATGCCTGTTGTTTAAGTCACTTAGTCAATGGGATTTTGTATCAGCAACTTGAGCAGATTAATACAAAAAGGATCACAATTTGGGATGCACTAAACCTATTTCCTCTGTCTCTGTTTCTCTCTCTCTCTCTCTCTCTCTCTCTCTCTCTCTCTCTCTCTCTTTCTCTCTCTCACAGCCAAGCAGTTGACACTGAACTTTTATTACCAGCTAGACCAGAATAGCCATGAGGACTGATCTGAACTTCCACTGCACATGGATTTGAGCTATGTGCTGACATTCTAGAGGGACTCCAGAGTCAGACTCAGGCCAGTTGGCTCTGCCATTCACAGACAGTTCATAAGATAGCTGGGGACTTGCTCTGACCCTGGATGTGACTAAGGTCCCATTCTCAAGTGATGGCTTCTTTGCTCCAATCTCTAATTTTTCAGAGCAATGACTCCTGTAAATATCCTTGTGTCTTTTGCAGGAGTCCACCACAAAGCTAGAGAGGTATCTCCTGGGTCCTGGAAATGGAGTGACCTGAGAATCACAATGTTCCTAGAGAGTAAGAGCTGAAAGCAAAACTATTTTATGAGAAAGGCCAAAGACCTGAGAGAATCCCTTGTATTTCAACTTGGGTCCTTCCCTCTTCCCCCCACCCTAACTCATCCCTTTGAACAGCCTATTTAAGCCCCCAAGGAAATGCCTGCATAGATTGACTTCTTACAGCCACATTTATATTTGAAGGATAAGGAGGAGTTCCTTCGCCCTAATGATCCAAAATTTCTGTACAGGAGAAAAGTAGTGATTCCCTTTGGAACCTACTGGAGAACCTAACTGACAGAATGTTGCAACAAAAAATCAGGAGTGTTAGGTTCATTTGCAGCTCTGCAAATACAAATCCTCTCTCCTGATGGGGATAGTTTTTTATTTGTTTGTTTGTTTGTTTTAGGATTTATTTAGTTATTTGGTGAAGAATTGGGGTATGGGCCAGAGGTACGAGGGATGAGAGGAGTCACCAGAAACAGAGTGGGGAGAAGAATAGGCAGATCTGCTGAAATACACTGCTATGGGGAGCAGTGGGCCAGACAGGAGAAGTCTTCTGTGCCATTTGTGGGTCAGCTTCCTGGCTGGTGATTGAACTCAGGTCACAGAGGCAATAGAGGGATAAGGCTGAGATTTAACCCCTATGCCACCAGGGAGTCATTATGGGATAAGTTTAAGGCCATGCCTGGCATATAACTAGTATTAAATATTGAATGAATTAATCAGTAAGGTGGAGACAAGCTAAAGAGGGAAAAGGGCAATACTGTACTATGTTCTTTCTGGAGATAAAATTTATAGAAAATGTAAACAGTTGGATCAGGAATAGCAATTCTGCTGCAGGAGTCTATAGTCTACATTTACCCGAGAAATAGTTGTTAGTGATGACAGGGTGTAGATTATCTGGGGAGAACTCAAAACTCTTGAACAACTTCGACTACTTCCAAGGGATCTCAAAAGCAGTTGTGTGTAAAATACACTCAATTTTGCTGAATATGGCTTTGGCCATAAATCTGTACTAGATCCCCAGTGAGGCACAGGACCTCATGTTCCTTTTTAATGGAATAGTTTGCAGGGGAAGGACAGAGAAGGTTGGGAGCTGGGGTTGGTAATACAGGGGACATGCTTTCAGAAGATCTGTTCCAGATAAAAGACAGGAGACACCCTATCGTAACTCTGAATACCAACTCAGCCTTGCCAGCAGGGGTAGCTACTGAACTGCCAAAGGACAACCAGCTAACAGGGTCTCTCAGCCCTGGCGGGAGATTCAACACTTAATCCAATTTATTTCTGGCCATTCCCCCTCAAATAGAGTATCTTCGGCCATGTGGAACTACTAGCATTGCTTTACCACACTCATATTTGCTTTTGGTCATGTTGTTCTCTCTCTGCTGGGAATCTTATCTCCTTCCCATTCTTCAAAGCCAGTTCAGATATGACTTTTTCTGACCATCTTAGCAGCCCTAGATGGGACAAAGTCTCCCCCACATAATGAGCTTTTTAAAACTATTTATTATCCGTGAACATCATCCACCTAGCTGTTGCTCACAGTGTTACAATACCGATCTATTCTCTACCTGGAGGGCAAATTAATGTGATGTTCACCTCTTCTCAAAAAACCTTGTATAGTTCCTGCTACAGAGATACTTCTTTGGACAAGAAAGAGGACACCAGTACGGAATCGTGTCAGGATCATTCAGTCCATGCTGCAAAAGATACCATGAGAGTTCACTTCTGCTTAAGCCAGTATCCTCACTCTAAGAGGTAGGTAGCAATGTTCACAGGATGGGACTGATAGGAGACACTGAACAGTGAGCACTCTCAGGGGTATATGGAAGAGAAGTTCTCAAGATACGAGGACACAGCCTGGACACAGAGTGCACAGAGGCCTGGAAACCGTGAGGACTGTGATCCTGGTGTAGCAAGTGTGGGTCCATCATCTGAGCCCCAAGAACAGATCTGATTTCAACTGCAGGATAATCTGAGTATTGCTTAAGGAATTATTCCCCACTGGCTTCCTTCACCACCAGGTAGTTTTAGGAGATGAGAGATAGGGTGGGAGTGGGGGCTAGATTTCAAGAATCTGAATTCCTATAACAAGGAAAAATTTCCACTTCAAAGCCTAGATTTGTAGATCTCTAAGTGCCAAGTGTGAAGAGGCATGAAATAGTTCAGCATAAGCTATTCCCTAAAGACTTGCCTTTTACTAGAGCGAACTTTGTAAATGTTAATAGGTACTAGACAAGCTGGAAGCAGATTTGCTCTGGGCCTAGAGACATAAAATAATCATCACCTTGTTTGTCTGATTCTAAATGAGCTTAGTATTGATTTGCATTATAAGAATTCCAAATTCCCACTACTCTGGAAAGTAATCCAAACCCACTACTTTTCATTCCTGATCGCTTCCTGCCCATGAACTTCTTTGAAATTCTGAACCAAATGTGGCGAGAACATGAGAGAAAAAGCCTGACCAAACATTGCCTGTATTCTCCTTGCATGGTTCCCCCAAACACTGGAGGGCGTGGGCCATTTCTGCTGTTTCTCAAAGGTGTGGCTGGAGCTTGGTGCACAAGGCAGTTGTTCAGATTACTAGCCCTACAAAAGCCTGAGTGTGAACCGCAGGGCTCAGCTCTACTACCTGGGACTTAGCAATATACGTTAACACAGTATGTGAGTCAGAAAAACTCTGAGCTTAGAATTTCAGAGAAAAAAAAGATTTTAGAGTTTATCTTCCCATGCTTTACAATTAAGATTGAAGCAGGGATTACCAGTGCTGAGACTAGCAGCCTTAGTCTCCTGATTTCCAAGCCCATATTTCTTCCTCTTGGCCACAAACTCTCCAACATAGAACATTCTAACATTTACATCTTTTACAGGCATAGTATGAGCTTAACAAAATGGTAAGCCTGTCCATTTACTCATTTATGCACCAGAACTGTTCTTGTTGATACTTGGTATAGATCAGTGAACAAAACAGATGCATTCCCTAGACTTGAGGTTTGCATTTTCCAGTGGGATACTTAAGTCATGTGTACTGATAGCTTAGGAAACGGAGCCTAAAAAATGTGACTTGGGCCGCAAGTTAATTAATGACAGACTTGGCACCACGGTTTAAAGTTCTTGACCCCAATTTCCCCTGGAATGAATATAAACCATGGTGCCATCTCGAAATGTAGTGAGAGTCTCAGGAGTTGGGAAATTATGTTCACACAGTCCTTTAAGCCAGCAGGGATCCACCTAAAGACAGGTACCATAGAGGGAGGAAGAGCCAGACAGATTTCCCAGAGAGCACAGATTCAGAAGTTTCACCTGAAAGGCACCATATCATTTTGTGTTTTCTTTTAAATGGGTATACTAGCCTTTTTATTGCTTTATATGTTACATATTTTCTCCCCAAAATATATTTTATTGCTGCCTTTATTTTTTTATTATTATTCTTTTTTTGCATTATTATTTTATTTTATGTATTTTTTATATCATTTTTTTTTGGTGACTGTTATAGGTTGGTTCTCCTCCAAGAAACAATATGTGGACCTCCTAATATGTCAGGTGAACTTGTTTTATAAATTGGGTCTTTAGATTAGTAGCTTGGACCCTTATCCAATAAGACTGGTGTCCTCATAAAGAAAGAGACAGGAAGATGAAGTGAAAACACAGAGACAGCCATCTACATCATGAGCCTCTGATGTCACCAGAGGCTAGAAGAGAAACATGGGAAAGATTCTCCCTTCTGATACTCAGCAGAAACCATCTTGCCAACACATCGATTTTGGACTTCCAGCTGCCAGAACTGGGAAACAATCACTTTCTGTTGTTCGTGCCACCCAATTTGTGGTACTTTGTTATGGCAAACCTAGCAAATGAAAGCAGTAATCCTGATGTGTCCATTTATTTCATATTCTTATAAAGTGAAATCACATTTTAATGAGAAAAATCTCTCCACACCCCTTGAAGGCTCTACTTCTCAGGTCAGGGACACAGATGAGAGCGATCTGTGGGAGATAAACAGGCCTCAGACCAGCACACTGACAGAAGCTGAGTGCCTGTCTGCCCTGCCCACATCTGTGGGTCAGCCCCTCGCACATTCAACACTTCATCGCTCCAGGCAACTGTCTGTACAAGAGGGGAGACCCAGCCCCACAGATAAAGGAGGTCTGTTCTCTTACTGTTTATTGTTAAGTCAGAAAATTTCAAAAGTTTTAGCCATATGACTCATGCAGTTAACAACCCACACAATGTGAGAAGATGTAAGGGGAGGAAATATTCTGATTCCATTTGTACCAAAATCCCCAAGTTGATGATGAATCACGTAAGAAAAATATGAGTTTTCTTTTCCAATGCTCTACCTTTGAAATCCACCAAGAGTTTTTTTTTCCTTATATGCTATCAGATATCACCAGTTCAAAACAAATTATTACAGCCAAACACCAGTGTCGAATTTAGGGATGACTAAATTTGAGAATGAAAAGTTGAAAATTCTATCAACCTGCTAGCTATCTTGGTGACAGGAAATCACTGGTACATAGTAGTTGCTCATCACAATGTTTGCTGAATTGGAGTAAAGTAAAAACTAGTATAAAATCGAGAGACCTCTCTTCCCTGAATCAGCAAGGTGAGGAGGGTGAGAGGAAAGACCAGGAAAGTCTACATTCTAATGTGATTCACTGCCCAAGGATGTCCACAATCCATGTCAATGAAAATGATTGATTACAGTGACTTTGATGAGAGTCCCAAGGCAAGCATTTGAAGATACCCAGTTACATGATGGTCTCTAGCTTTTAAGTGGCCGTATTGGAACTATCTCCTTCAACTCCCTTTGCGAATCCCCAAACTCCCTGAAAACTGGCGCTGACACATGTAATTCCAGGCTCTTCTACCTGTCTACTCACATGATCACTCCATGTTAACAGAAGGGCATGGCACCTGCCCAATGTTGTGTAGGGGCTAGCTTCAAGGACACAAGGAAATCAGAGTAAGGAAATAAATGATTATTACTCTCAACCAACTTGTACCTGCAGTTTTATCTTAGGCAGCAATGACTTGTGGTTCTATTCAAAACCTTTGTCTGTCTTGGTGCCATTACTGTGGCACCATCTTTTTTCCCCTTAGTTCCCATCTTTTCCTGTCTCAGAAGAACATGATGGTGAAGAGCATAAATTCTGGAGGCAGACTGTTCAAGTTCTATCGCAAGCTCTGCCATTCTGCACCTCTGGGACCTGGGAAAAGTCATTGAGACTCTCTGCACTCTATTTCCTTTTGAGTCAACTAGGAATAATACCATTACCAAGTCATGAGATTGTTTGAAATACTAAATGTGTGCACATACATCAAGTGCCTACAGCAGGTTCTAGTACGTAGTGTACACTCTGTAGTTACTACTCTACTGGGTGAATAATTAATGCACAACAGTGGAGGCAGGAGATCAGCAACACAGAACAATATGAACAAAGAGACTCAGATGCTTTCCCACTGTTAATGAAAAGGAAAAGAAAGTGGACCACTGTTATCACCTCTACTTTCTTGTGGGAGGCCAGAAAGTAAGGTAGTTTGTGGCGAAACACATTGTTGTTTATCAGAAGGGGGTGAAGTGCTTGTATTACCTTAAATAGCAGCTTGCGGCTGAGCTTGGAGTTACGGTTCAGACTTGAGGTGGAGGGGAAAGCCACATGATTGTGGATTTTCCCACTTTGTCCACTCTCGCAGGCTCACAACCACTTTTGGAGTCCGTGGTTTAACCTCTGTTTCTCTAACTTGTATTTATGAGTCAAGCGGTTTCATGTCATCATATTGATGGGGAAAGTGTGAACGGGGGCTAAGGATGTGGAAGCAGTTTCCAATCTGGGAAGGACCAGTGTGCCTATGCTAAAAAGGAGAGAAAGAATCCAAAGAGCCCAATCTCTGAGAGATTGTGTTTAGTTAGCTTTGAGACCTTGAATGCAATCAAAGTAGCTATCTGCATAGTATAAAGAAATTATTTACTGAAGCATAAAGAAAGGTGTCAGTATTGGGACCTCCCTGGAAGTGAAGGGGTTAAAGACAGTGCTATCAAGCTATCACCAGCCACTGCAGCAGGAGTTAAATCCTTGGCTGTCCAGGGAGCTAACTCACATGGTGCAGCAGACCTCTCCTGACTAGCCCGCTGCTCCCCTCAGCAGTGTATTTCAGTTAATCCACCTGTTCTGCTCCCCACTCTGTCTCTGGTGAATCATCGCACCACCTGGTACCTCTGGCTTATACTCCAGTTCTTGTATGCATAAATAAATAAATCTTATTTTTAAAAAAGAGTGTCAGTATTGAAGGAGGCTGAGGTGTTGTGGCAGGGAATATGGTGGGGTTGGGGGCAGAGACAAACAATGGGATTCTTGATAACCTTTTTCCCTTTCCATTGGAAAAAGGTAGGCCAAAGTTCACCATACTGTCTGGGCCTGACAAAGCTCAGTAAGGAGGACAGCAAGGCCACTGGGAGCCTCAGAGAGCTGTTTACTACAGCTGGCCCTCCCATGCAACAGTGAGCTGGAGGAAAATAGTGTTCCTTCTTTGTTCTGCTTGACCTTAGCAATGTCAAGTCTCAGAATTCCTAGGAGTCATAGCTGGTCAGAACTCCCAGGGCTCTCAGAGATTCCTTCCCACAGCTACTAAATCTTAGAGAAAAAGAAACAAAGCCTAAGGTTAAGTGACTAACCACCACTTATGGAAGGAGATGGGATTGGAACCCAGTTTTCCTGGCTCCAAAGAGGAAGTCTTTCGTCTTTTCACACCTCGGTGAAATCTGGTGGGCATCTGTGGCAGACTTTTCAGAAGAATAGAGTATTTTTAATGTTTAAATTATTCACAAAGGCAGTTGGCAGTCATTCCAGGGTCAGAAATGCAATTCCTGCTCTTGGGTGTGGGTATGTTATCACACTGAAGAATACTGACCAAACTTTCTTGGTCAGAAAGGCTGTATTGCAAATGCTGCAAAGCAATACTGAGAGGCGGGAGTGGGGGGTAGATGAGAAAGATTAGGGGAAATATTCTTAACCTCCCAGTCTAAATATTTTCAACATTCAACTAAAATAATCAAAAGATATTTCAAAAAGTTGAATCTACTTTTTCTATAGTTAAAAATGGCTTATCTTCAATTTACTTCATTTCATCTTCTTCCTAACCTAGCACTATTTCTCTTTCTGCTAAATAAGCCTAATTTTTCTCTCCATTTTCCTTTACACACTATGGTTTTTAGAATTCCAATCATATGAAGTAGTTTCCATTGTAACCTCTCCAGTATATCCACATCCTTCTTAAATTGTATTACTTTTAACCAGACATAAAATTCCATTTGAAGAGTTCCCAGGAAGGAAGTGAGTAAGAATATAGGACTCATTCATGTACATTACATAAAATACAAATACATATAAAAATACTTTCGGCCACTTCCTGCTTATAAAGTGGGTGTGTCAGGACTTCTGTTGAACTCAGTCCTGAACTAATTTCATCATTTTCCCCTCACAGTCTAAATACTATTAATTCACTTTTTCACAGCACCCATAAATATCCAGTTAATTCCAAAAGCTTATGATTCCATGGAATGCATAATGGAGATAACACTTGAAAAAAAATGATTCAAAATTCAGCAGATGGAACATTGAGATCATTATTTTCAAATCTTATATAATAATACAATTAAGCATAAAATTTAGCTCTAAATTTCTTGACAAGTGAAAAGAAAATTTTCAATTTTAACTAATTTTAAAGATTATTTTTCTTCAGAGGAGTAAACACCTAATAACAATGAATAAATACAATGAATGAATACAAAGGTGTTCATACATACATACATTCATACAACAAGTAATAATCAAACAAAAACCATGTTATAAGAAATAAGGTCTATCTTCAAGAAGGTTATAACCTTTGTAAGAACTTATTAAAGTGTCAGATGATTGGCTGAGAAACTTAAGCAATGATGCTTGGCTGAGAGATTTAAGCAATGAGTTATGAATTTTGAATTATGAGTTATTGAATTTTGAATCCTTTTTAAAGTGTTATCTCCATTATGAAATTCTCTTGAAGTTAATTTTATAATGAAGATATTACTTTCTCTGATTTCCCAGAACCTTTTATTAAGTCCTCAAATTTCCCTAACATACCAACTAATTACATTACTGTTTGCACTGTTTAGACTTCTTACAATGGAATGTTAGACATTCTTGATTATTCAAGTGGGTTTGAGCTATTTTTGTATATTTTAAAATTTCATTGTGTAAAATGAATTTTAAGGACATTGTGTTTGTCGTTCATCTTCAGGTTGCATATAACCCTATGTGGTCCACACCATATCTTTCTGAGTAGGTAGGGAAGTTGGAACCAGTGACTGGTCAGCAACAGAGCCGAGGTGATGGCAGTAGTATCATATATTATTTAGTTATTTTTTAAAAGTCGATGTTTAATGACTTTTTTAGACCAAGTCAATGTACCTTTTATCAAAAATTTTGATATCAAAGGGCCTTTCTTTTTTTTTTTTTAATTATTTATTTATTTATTTTTATTGATTGATTGATTTATACATACATGCATACAAGCACTGGGTACAGTCAGAAGCGCGGGAGGGTGAGAGAATTCACCAGAGCCAGAGCGGGGAGCAGAACAGGCAGAAGGACTGAAGTACACTGCTGAGGGGAGCAGCGGGCGGCAGGAGAGGTCTGCGCGCCATGTGGGACCCTCCTCTGGTGGCCGGGGAGCAGCCGGGGATCGAACCGGCGCTGCAGAGGCTGCGGGCAGCTTCGCAACCCAGTGCTCAACCGCTGCGCCACCGGGGAGGCCCTCAAAGGGCCTTTCTTAAATACCCTTGATAGGCAAGGGTAATTACTTGATAGGCAAGGGTAATTATGGC